TATATATATACGTTTTTATTCTCTTATCTTATCCTTAGTTTATAACACAAAAAAAAAACCTTTCAAAGTGCTACCCAATTATCTTATCCCTTGTCGATTTACGAGTTCCATAAAATCGATGAAATACTACTGCCGATTAACGTTTTATGAGCAAAAAATGGACAGAACTATCTCCCAAATATTTGGGAGACCACCCACGGGATAACATGTGTCATGTAAATGTTTTTGTGGTTGCAATTTAATTTAGTTTGGGTAAACCTGAAAGATGACATATGAAAAGGCAAACCAGTATACATGAGGTTATATTTCTTGTCTTATTACTTTACTAACGGTCGACTGCTTTTTAGTCAGCGCGTAATTAAAAATTGCTTATAATATTTCTGCGTGCATAAAGTACTTTCCCGTCCAAATCCCGCCTAGAGTAGTCTAGTTCTAATAGTCTTTGCACAGAAAAAAAAATCGGGTTTTCGCTATCAGCAACGCGAAAACATCATATTTACCAAATATAATGTTTTTGCAGTATTACATACAGACACTCCAATTTTATTATATTGATAGGTTCAATAGATATGAAGTATTTTGTCTACAGTAGCCACTGACAGAGACAGTTTTTGTACTAATGTTTCAGTAGGTTGTTTTAAATACTTATTTTGTCATCGTTCTGTAATTTTCCAAAGTTATACGTCGTTGCGATAATATTTGTGCACTCGCTATTGTCGTTTATTCCTTTATGATATCGATTTATTATTTTACAAGTTACTGCAACAATTTTTTGTACAATAACACTTTAGTATTCGTATTTTATGTTACAAAGTTACTCCCGTAGGGTCGGCACAACAGGGTTTTGTCCTCCAAATAACTCTATCAAACTTCATCTCAGTCATCACTCCCTTTTTAATCATGTCATCTTTCACGTAATCCATCCATTTCCTTTTAGGTTTGCGTCTTTTTTATAAGGTACTAGCTGTTCCCGTGCGGCTTCATCCGCATGAGATTAAGCACAGAATTATTCAAAAATATGCTTTAATTGCTGTTATCTTAGGCAACAAAGAAGTTTGTGTTTACGCTTTATTATAATAGGTTAGATACCATAAGACATTAGCGACATATTCATGTTGCTTTAAACCTTGATATATGTACTTGTTAATATCAATTACCACTAATTAAAAATGTACTGTCCTTTTAAAGTTTAACTTAAGATCAATGCCCTTTCGTAAGCTTAAGAATGCTCTTGATTACAAAGAAATATTTCCGCAAAACATGCAGTAAATATATTTTTATAGTCGTTTCAACTGCTATAATAAGCTTTTATACAACAACAAAGAAAACTGGTGTTCCATATGATCGTAATTTTCAGTTATAAACGTATTTATTTTATACGAAAACCTGGATTCGGTCGCTATAATAGATAGTATACTTTAATTTACATAACTATCTATACATTAAGCAAACTTTGCATATAATTGTATTAAAATCTAAGGTGGACCTAGACTAATGCAAAAACAGTAATGTTTCGAATGGATTTAACTTATTTTTATTATTTTTCAGATCGCTATTGATGGCGTTACTTTGCATCCGTGGCGACTGGTACCTGTATCTTTGGCTGATATACTGCAAGATCTATTCGGCAGTCGTATGGCTTGTCGGCAATCACTGCCGCGGAGCTGATAAGCGGGCCGTGATAACCGCCGGAGCCGACCAGTCGTCTGGAGGCCTTCACAGAGTGCGCACGCGTCGCAAGAGAGCGCAGCACCATCGTGTCAAACATATCGCATTAGTGAGGAGACCATCTTTGAGACGAATCGTCATGGCACCAGGAGCTAGTACCGCGCACACTATGATGGAAGACAAGGAGAAGGCACTTCACGGCGCTTTGGCCACAGGTTAGTAAAGTGAAGATTTTTGATAAGTTTAACAAAGCATTCGTTACCATTCTTGGCAGTGGTTTCAGGATGCGTGTGTTTTCCAAATTTTATATTTAGAACGAAAATCTTACAGCGAAAGTTGTGAAACGGTATTGACACACATTTTCATCTTCACTAAACGTTCGTTGAACCTTATATTTCGATGTGTAAAGTTTTTAGTATCAAAAATTCCTATATGCAGTAACAATCGTGTTGTAAGATGTTTACTTTGTTGAGGGACTGGTAACAGAGGGTGAACGGCTAACAATTGAAAAAGAAATCGATACGTGAGTTGATTATAATTCGGCTAGTTGAATAACGCCTTGACTTTGAAACAATTTAAGGAATCGATTTCGCGGCGCCACTCTCTTCCGGGCTTCCTGGTCTTTGAATCATAAGGTCATAGCGAGGATCGATATTGATAAATAAATATATCTTGATTTCTTGATGTATGTTTATAGTTGCTGTCAACCTCTCATTAAATACAAGTTAATACGTAAACATTTACGCTTTGTATAATCTACAACACCGCGTACACACTGGCCAGTAACATTCGACATTAAGATTTTTTTTTTAAGATTCTGAGGCAAAGATAACGTTTGCCATTATGCCTATTTATTGCTATCATATGTGTGTTACTTACAAAAAAGATTAAATTATTTATTCTTCAAATATGAATGTGCTAATATGTAAAATTGCAAATCATGGTAAAAATTATTTACAAGAAATTATAACCTTTGAATTTGGAATGTCGAATCACGAATTATACTTAGGCGGGTAAATAGTGCACTTTGGTCTTATATTAGTTTAGCGCGAGTTTTTCATCATCCAATTGCGTTCTAATTAGGGAATTTCTTGGCGTTAGGTCAAGATATAACGCGATGCGATATATTCGCAAGAAAGCGATTAATTCGTTTTATCGATAAAACAAACTTCGAGAAACAACGATGAGTGTGTTGTTGTTACAACATAATAAACTAACACTATAAGTATATTAGAGATTGGTGAAAAATTAAGATGTTAAAATTAAACTATGGATTTAATTTTCCCGCTGTTTTTGTCAAAAGTAAATGTAATAAAAACCTTTATTGTAACACTTGTCACTCTTAGATTTTAAAAAGAATGTTTTAAGAAATAATAAATACAAAAGCTTCCGAAATATAATCGTTCTTATACTTGAAGTTTGCATTAAATTCAAAATCAATAGATATAGAAATATAAAACATTAATACGGTTAATGTATCTCTTCTTGGAATTAACTCTAGCATCACGAGCTGGGCACACAGCCAGGGAAATTTATTTGGTGCCCGCTTGTCATCCGTCTAAACGTGTTCAATAATTATTTGCTACATACACATTTCACGCACTCGTATCGTGGTTACAACTAAGCAATAAAATATTAAAACCTAAAACTCGATTTAATGCGTAATTAATACGTAATCGGAAAGCACTTTCAGTTCTTAGAAATTCTTGTAATTAATATCGTGCATATGGTTGTTTTCCTCAATTGTAAACAGCATTGTAATATGAAATATTGACCTTCAGTGGAATTACGCATTTTAACAACTAACGGTTACATTCATTAATTTACCTTATTAAAACCCCAATTTCGTATGCAGCTTATTCCCAAAATATTAGAGATATGTTTGTGGTTAAATAAACATTGGTTTCCTCTGCTCGAACATTCTTACAATTCATTTTTCTCTATTGTGAATTATATCCGATATTAAATACTGAAAAAACAATCTTATGTTTTCGTTCAAATATTTCCACAATGAAAACCCACGGTTACTACTTACGCATGAGTGTTTGTTTGGTTATGTAAGAATAAATGCTTATTTCATAATATAGTAAATTGTCGTATAAAGAAATGAGAATAGGACCAAATAAAGCAAGCTTTTGCTGATTAATTTTGCAGTTATCAAAAAACAAATGTCTTTATAAGATTTAATTACTTTTAAACTACAATTTAAAAAGATAACCAAAAGTCGTTCTGTTAATGATAAAGCATTGTCTTGAGAGATCGGTCAATTGCCTTGAGCAAGCCGTACCACGAAGCGCAATTGAACTTTGAGCTTACGTTCAAAAATAGATCGGTTTTAAAGTCACTGTAACGCTTTATATTAGCACTCAGTGAAATATCAAAGTTCAGTTACGACTTGGTATTATTGTCACCATTTTGCAAAAGTACAACGCTTTAAAAAACAAATGGACTCCATGGTCTTTGGAACAAAATTTTATTTTCAGTGTAAATACTAATATATAATAATGTACTAGTAACATTGGAATAATTCGTTTAAGGAAAAATATGTTGTAATTTGGATTACGTAGTTAGAAATGTCGAAAGGAATGAGTTAAAATCGTCAATATGCAGAACATGTTTAACGAAACTGGTATGACGTCGGACCACGCCCCCGGTGCTATTGCGGTCGATACGTTTGACAACAGACTATAAAAAAATCTACAGATAATATTATAAATTCATTAAAAGCGCAGGTATTATATAAAACCAAGATATTTCTTTTTGGAATGAAGTTCGAATGTATATTAATGTTAGTTTAACGTACACTCGTGTTTATTGTTATAAAAAATCACTATCATACTTCATACTAATATTATAAATGCGAAAATTTAGATGGATGGTTGTTTGTTAGAGTTTGCGCCTAAACGGCTGAATGAATTTCGATGAAATTTTGTATAGATGTAGACGACAGTCTGGGAAAACATATAGGCTACTCACTTTTATTTTTTTTAATCCACGCGGACGGAGTCGCGGGCAAAAGCTAGTAATTTTATAAACTAGACATATCTTGTTGCTTCTAGATTTTAGTTGTTAGGGTACTATGAACTTTAAAAGTTTCGTAAACAACAATGACATGTGATAAATTACTGTTGTTTTTCGCTTGATATCGTGCCCCCAGTGCGGTTTTATCAGGGGGCGTGTTGCTACCAACGTTATCTTTAACAAATATGTAACTCCGCCATGTTGGCCTTACAAGACGGATTCGTTTGCTTTACTGCTGGATGATGTAATAGCAATAATCTTTATTTAAACTTAGAAAAGGGCTCTATTAAAAATAACTGGGATAAAAAATGTCTTTGCCGCTTCTAAACCATCAATGTGTAAAGAACCATAGTATAATCATGAAATGCGAAAGTTTTGATGGATGGATGTTTGTTAGAGTTTGTTGCCTAAACGGTTAAACGGATTTCGATGAAATTTGGCATAGACGTAGATGATAGTCTGGAAGAACACATAGGTTTTGATTTTTTTTAATTCTACACGGACGCAGTCGTGGTAAGCGTTTCCATTGGCAATTCTAAAACTTTTGAAAAGTAGGGTTCAAAGCACTTGTAGTCCTGGTTACTGGGATTTAAAAACTCTTGGCGGTATTGTACAAGTATAATAATAGCGTATCTAATAAGCAAACTTATTGATGTCGAAATAATGTGATCGCAGGTACTGCGAAACAATTGACGATAGTATAATTATCTATGGTTCTATTACTATACAGATAAGATTATTACTGACGAAATATTTAAAACATGTGGGCGTTGGCTCTGGTAAAACAAGTTTTGTTTTTTTAAATGCCCATGTCCTAAACGTAATTGGAATTGATTTTGCATTCAAATGTATGTTTTGAGATAATTCGGAATACTTTTATGAATTGTACACTTTGTGGTTTTGTTATTAATCGTATGAAAACTTCCTTGATTACTCCATTTCAAACATATGAGCTTGTTTATTTTTTACAATTATGTTTTACTGTCACATAACGGAAGGAAATGATTTTAAGAAACAATAACTTTTATTAACCAAAACAATGTTAGTAATAGATAACGAAAAAACTGTTTTAAAGAGTACTTCTTGTTTATGAGTTTTTAAATGAAATAAACAATTTTAGTATGAAATTTTTTTATCAGTAAATCTAGAAATCTCTTAACTTCATTGAAGATTGTAATACTGAGAATCCATAATTACAATATCTTTGTTTTTTTATTTGATGAAGATATTTTAACTGTTATCTGTTCACGGCACTAAAACATGATGTAATAAATAGTTATGTAATTAAAGAGATAATATTACGCAAATTGTTTTTAAAGCTGGTAATACTCAGTGTCATCGGCGGGAATTCTCCGAAGGGTCACTACGTCTGGTGATAGATTGACTTCAAAATGCACGCGACATGAATCGCTAGCGTGAAAGGTGGACGTCATTCATTCATGTTGTTTTCTATAGTCGATAGTTCACATCATACTGTTAAAGAATTATATTCGATTAGCATTTAGGATTAAGGGCCTGTCCCACCACTGGCTTATGAGGCTCAGATAGCTTATAAATGACATCACTGTCAGATAAGGTAACAAAATCCGATATTTCCATCACGTATTTTACACTTTAGATTGTTATCAGACAATTCACAATTTGGTGGGACAGGCCCTAAATATCGTAAAGCAAATTATAACCAGAGGGTTCATTACGAATATTTAGTAATAAATGTGTTCTTAACGTATGAGATTTGTTGGCATACTTTACGCCTTAGCTGCTCAAATGTAATACACATTTCTCAAGAATATTCGTAATAGACCCTCAGAATAGCTATAATTTAACACATGTGTGTTCCTTTGCAATGCATGTCTTATATGATTATATTTTAAGCATTTGATCATTATACCCAAATGTGCAGGAATGTAAATAATCTTAAATTGAATAATTCGTTATGACGCTGTTCTTCTTTCTTCTTTCTTCTGAAAGTCTCACTGATTTTGATAAAGTTTTAAGTATATTAGCTTTTTAAGAAGTACTAAAGTAACTATAACATTCACATACAAATGTATATCGCTAAATTAGCGTTCGTGCTGTTTCCGTTATCATAAAATTTATTTACACCTTTTTTATTTGTTTGTTTCTTACATTGTAAATTAATCGTTCCAAGGATATAGTATTAATATTTGGGTTCAATAGAATTAATTCATCACAAATATAAGCTTCCATCTTTACTGTAAGGTATTTTATAAGATTTTGCATTAAAAGCGGTAATACTCAACTTAATAAAAATATTTAGATACTTATCGTGTTAATTAAAAATTGCAATTACTTCGTCCGGCGACATCAAGCATGTTTTTTTATGTATTATATTACAGTTTAGAACTTGACTAAAAAAAATGAAAACATCATCATCATCATCAACAGCCTTCACCTGCCCACTGCTGGTCATAGGCCTTCCCCAATGCCTTCCACAGAATGCGGTCCTCCGCCTTCCGCATCCAACGACTATATCACATGAAGATATAATGATATGTAAATATTCGAGAACAACGCGTTTGTTGAGATCACTATACTATAAATACTCGGTCATCTCGAGATCCAATAATAAGTCTGTTGAATCTATTAGAGGTTGTTAATTTTATTTGTACAAAGTTATATTTATATATCTTTTTACTATAATTAAATTATACATAGATATGCCCAAGTAATTTTAAAATTTATTCGTTTAATTTTATCCAGAAAAAAAAAACTAGCCTTGTTTAACTATAAACAATAGGGAAAGAATAATTCATGAATCACTTTCTTCTTCAGTAATAGGAATGGATTATCTTGGACTCATAACATAAAAGTAATTAAAGACAGTTTAAACTCACGTTTGTTTTCATAAGTAAGGTATTATGCAACTAAATATACCCGCCCTATATAACTGGCCTCGAGCACTTGTCGTGTTCCGACTACACTGGCACGGTGCTTTTCTCGATAGTCCAAAGTCCAAACCAATCTACTAGGGTTGTCAACGGTATAACGAACTATTTGTTACGTTCAATACTATAATAAACTTGACAACCCTAGTAACAATCAAACATCATGCCATGCTAACTGCTGGGTTACGTTCTAGAATTCTTTGCCGTTTTTATGACGTCATTATTTCTGAACATGTGGCGGTTCCAACACTCTGGTTTTTATCTCCTACTCATAGGGGAGATGTGTAATCTAAAACACTTCGCTCTGTAAGCGCTGTTTACAATCTTAAATACGTCATTAATGGAATCCGGGATTTAAACGTTGCCGTATCATCTGTTACGCATTTAAATTTCGTTTCAATATTTAGCCGCTCGTCTACATTTTTCTTACTTAAGACATCCCTAAAATTGACCGGGAATTTTAAATCAACGGAAACAATTTGATTGCGTCAGACAATGTCAGTTTGTTATGACATTTACAATTGACGCCAGTTAAAAACTAATGAGTCGCGTGAGGTTTGTTTCCATTAACCAGGCGTGTCGAGGTGAATGACGTGGGTGCGTTTGCATTGGAACTTGTGTTAGTTCTGTACGAGGGCGCGTCGCTATGCCGACATTTTATTGGTCGACCTCATATTTGTGTTCTAGTGGCCATGTTGGTTTATTTATAAATTGTTTTAGCCCTCGCTACGCAACATTTTTACGTTCGATACTCAACAATAATAGAACACGAAGGTAAAAACGTCAGATTACAATTGTTGTCAACCAGAGATCCCCAGACTTTTGCGCAGTCCTGATTTTTTTTTCGGGTTTCTAAAGTTTAAAATGTCTCATTTTTCGCCCCGCTAAAGAATAGCCCCTCCGTCATCTAAAACAGACATTATCTTTAGTACGAATTTGTCATTACAGAACACTCTTAAATGTGCTCTGGTTTCCTAACCTACTTTAACGAAGAAAGCAATTTAGCAAATTAAAATGGAGCAAGTGTATTGTACCCGTAAATTATTTTTATGTACAACATTTAACACGGGTTTTAGGAGGGTTTGTTGAAAATATGAGACATTTTATTAAGGATCCGCTTAAAGCATTCTGGTCATACAACACGCGTTAGCATGTTCATATTAAATGGTGGGCACAGTGATGCAAAAATACTATGCCTAATTTCAAAGAGATATATTCGAACAGTGTTTGTTATTTTAGTGTCATTTTATGATAGCCATTTATGAACTTATTTTAGGACAAAATTTGTATATAAAAAGATATAAAATTCAACATTATTTATGTAGTGACTTTATCTCTTGATTTCATTTTTTTTAAATTAGCGCAATATCCAAACTTGATTAAAGCTGGAACAGATTGTTCAATCGTCACGAACATTTCAAGTTTAATTGAGATAATTGTAACACTGATTAAAAGATAATTTATCGGTTATCAAGTTGACCCGGACAGTTAGCTCAATCAAGGTCATTCAATTATTACATGATATTTGCAAAAATAACAATACAGAAACAAATTCAATGTTATAACCAAATATTTATTTTCTTTGTTGTAGTGTCGATGCGTTCCCGTCGTATCAGTCAGTTTGCGCCACTATTGATTGCGCTGGTGGGGCTACCGGCGCGCGGCAAGAGCCAACTGGCGCATCGCCTCTCCAGGCATCTTAACTGGAACGGAGAAAGCACTAAAGGTAAACACACTAGATCTATACCTAACTAAACTAATGAAGAACTAAGAATAGTCCATAGACAATGTTACATTCTTTTAGCAATATTATTAGATTGTAACTGACGTTCAGTTTCGCGGTCATCTGGAAGACAAGGCCAAGCTGGCTTCCAAAAAGCTGGGTGTGCTCAGTAGGGCGAAGCAGTATTTCCAGCCGGGCCACCGCCTACTACTTTACAAGGCGCAAGTTCGGCCCCACATGGAGTACTGCTCGCACCTTTGGGCGGGAGCACCCCAATACCAGCTTCTTCCATTTGACCGCATACAACGGAGAGCGACTCGAATCGTCAACGACCGAGCTCTTACCGACCGGCTAGATCCTCTGGCCTTGCGGAGGGACGTCAGTTCCCTCTGCATCTTTTACCGCATTTACCACAGGGAGTGTTCAGAGGAGTTGTTTGGAACGATTCCTGCCGCCGAGTTTCGTCATCGGACGACGCGACAGACCGCCAGGTACCATCCTCACCATCTCGATGGCTGGCATTCCACAACCGTGCGGTTTTTGCGGAACTTTCTGCCCCGCACAGCCGCGTTGTGGAACGGTCTGTCCTCGGCGGTATTTCCAAACCAATACGACTTAGGGCCCTTCAAGAAGCGAGCCTATCATTTCCTCAAAGGCCGGCAACGCATCTGTAGTTCCTCTGGTGTTGCGGATGTCCATGGGCGTCGTTGACCACCTAGGTGTACACGCCGCTCGTTTGCCCCCTTTTTACTATAAAAAAAAAAAAAAACTTGATCTACTGTTTTTCAATGATTTAGGACCTGTCTCACCACTGGTTGATAGAGGCCCAGATAGCTTAAAAACGACGTCAAAAAATCCGATATAATTATCCCTAATTTTATACGTTGGATCGTTGTCTGACAATTTACAAGAATTTGGTAGTACTGACTCTAAGGGCCTATCCCACGATTGGTTGATAGAGGTTCAGATAGCTTAAAAATGACGTCACTGCCGATTTAGGAACAAAATGCGATACTTCCATCACACATTTTACAAGTTGAATTGTTATCAGACAAATTACACTTTGGTGGGACAGACCCTTAGAGTCTAAAGTTCTCATACATTTTGTCCTTATCTCTTACCGACTTGAAAGAAATTGTGTACTCGATTGCCGTCTAAATAGCTTGCTAAAATGTTCGCTGAATCATTCCACGAAACAATTAATGTAAATGGGTGACAATTGTCCAGTTGATATACGGTTTATAAAACATATGTCTACATATGCCAACCTCGACATGAATTGTGTCGTTTTATATCTAAAAGCATCGGAGAAACGATAACAAATATTGCAGTGCCTTGACCTGCTTCAAGGTGTCCGCAAATCAAACGTCTGTCAACATGTAGATTGTTTATTATTGCATATTTGATTACATACTCTTGTTACAGTAAATACTTTTGCGAACATATTTTGTAAAGAAAATTTATTTGTAAAGTGAAAAATCCAAGTTTACATTCATATTTTTATCAGATACTATCATATTATATGTTAGAAAACCTAGCATTAAGTTTTATAATGAGTGTTTTGTGTAGTATTTTATTCTATTTTCCTGTTAAATTACTTATCTTTAGTGTATTTTGATATATCCAATGGATCGTTGTCCTTAAATCCTTAATTATTATAGTGTTGTACAATGTTTAGATAAAATAATCGGTTTTATAAATAAATTATAGCCTAGAACATTTATTACTTTACCATTAGCTCGTCCACTTTATTTAATTTGAATAATATTTATATGAAAACACTGTCTGTTCCTTTCATCGCAGTACGCGTGAAGAATTCGAAACAATATCAGCAAAGAACTCGTATATCTAAACATCCATTGAATGTCGATTAAGTTATTATTATAATAATATGTTATTAGAATTTTAGACTAAGACTTTAGATATATTACTTTACTTTTAGTCAGTATTGCCCCTTTTGAGCACTTGTAATCTACAGGTCTTGGGGTCGAATCCCGCCACGTCTCAATGTGATTTTTGTATTTCATATGTCCATAAATTACCCGATAAGGTGAAAGAAAACATCGTGAGGAAACCTGCTCATATTGGCCAAGAAATTCAAAGATATGGCAACCACCCCGCACTGGGCCAGCGTTGTTGACTATGGCCTTATCACTCTTAGGGTTAGGCTCTGAGCCCCTCAGTGGGGACATAATACAGCGAGCTGGTGATGACGATGTCGATGGCCCTTATTGCCATTTGTAAACGTAGACAACATTTAATATTAACCTTTTTAAATGCTACTTTATTACGCTTTTTAATTATGTTTTTGTGTGACAGTGTTCGACTGCAGCGAATACCGTCGCAAGCATATGGCTTTGTATGGCAGCCACGACATCTTCCGTGCAGACAATCAGCAGGGTTCCGCTATCCGCCGGCAAAGCGCGCGCGAGGCGGTCCAAGACGCCGTGCTGTGGCTCAAAGAAGGGAACAGTGTTGCTGTAAGTCACATTTTTATATTGCGTGCATTACGTCATAATGACGTCATTGTGTGCATCATAATCGATGGATTACAAGATTAATAAGGCGGGTTTATTCTATAACAATTATGACAGTAACAAGGACATTATAAGTGGAGGTACACCGGTAGAGGTAGACCTAGACAGAGATGGATGGATAGCGTGAAAGGTGACATAATCAAGAAGGGAGTGATGATTGAGATGACCGATGATAAAGTTACTCGGAGGACGAAAAACCGACCGACGACCGTACAGTAGTAGGATAAGTGAAGGGAGATGATGAATTGTGATTGTATTGTTAATATTGTAATGGAGATTTCATTGACTGAATTTAAATGAATATTTAGAAAAAAATTAGGATAGATTTGAACCTCATCTGTGTTGAAACTGAAAAATTTTCTTTATCCATGTTTATCCGTCCATTTGTGTAATTAACATCCTGTTTGCAAAGTTGTTATAGATAAACGATTGCATAGACAGTTTAAATAGCAGATTAGAATAACAACATTAGAGATAGCCGTCTGCTATTGACGTAATAAACTATTTGCATGATAAGCTGATCTCTTGATAAATAACATCCTATTTGCTTTAACATCGCACGAGTTACGCTCACAAACTTCGTTAACTTTAAAAAAATCATCTAAATCTTTCTTGAAAAATTCTATTGACTAGGACATTTATTTCGAAGATCTTATCACTAAGGGCCTGTCCCACCACTGATTGATAGAGGCTCAGGTAGCTTAAAAGCGATCGATAATTCCATCACATATTTTATACGTTGTATTATCTGACAATATCCAAAAAATTGTGAGACATGCCTTAAATCTTTTGTTAATTCGTTATATTAATCATTATCTAATTTTTGTCAAACTTTAGCTTTTCTATTCCAGATATTCGACGGTACTAACATAACACGCGAGCAGCGTCGCGAGCTGGACGAATACTGCCAATCCGATATGGGCTTCAGGATTCTCTTCATCGAGTGCGTCTGCGAAGACCAAGAGTTGCTGGAGAGGAACATCATTGAGATCCTGCATTACTCCGCTGATTACAAGAGTATGAGTGAAGAAGGAGCCGTAGATGATCTGCGGAAGAAATTGGAACATTACATGCGTCAGTATGAACCGATAGATGGGAACTTAGAGACCATAAGTTTTGTACGAGTGGAGAATATGGGAGAGACAGTCACAGCGCATAAAGTGATAGGACAGAAGGAATCGGGAATACTGGGTTATTTGTCCGGAATGAGAGCGTTACCACAGACGTTGTATTTCACTCGGGTGAGTTAAAAAATTATACATTATTTTGTTAGCTCTCAAAGACATTTAAAAAGCATATAGACTAGGCAAAGTCAAAATTTCTTTCACCGTTCTTTGAAAGGCACTATATTAGTTGTCAAGTTTCTATCTCGTGTTCTTGTGACATGTAAAAACATTTCACAAAATTAATTTATTAGAAGTTTGTTAGAGCTCAAAGCTTTAAGCCTAAATGGCTGAACAGAACTAGGAGAAATTTGGCATAGACGTAGAAGATAGTCTGGAAGAACACATAGGATACTCACTGTTGTTTTTTTAATTCCTCGCGGACAGAGTCGCAGGTGACAGCTAGTTAAACAATAAGTAAAGTTGTCCAGCTATAATAACAATGTCTTCAAGATTTGATACCAGACAGTCTTTCATAGTTCACGCGACATCGGTAATCAATTTTCTTAAACGCTGCAGTATTATGATTAGAAATTATTATGTTACTACTTTGACATTATTATAGTAATGATATAAACATATTTCTCATGTAACTTTCATTCTGATATCAAATGGAAATTTTATTAACATCGCTATTAATAGTTCCAGCAACAAACAAGTCTCGGAATACATACGCTTTAAATAAATAACTCGATTCGTGCTTCAACAGTTTAATATAAACTTGTAAAAGTAGGTTTCCATTGCAGAAAATGCAATTATTAGTTAGTCTTTGTTTCGGATTTTTCAGTCAAATAAAAAGGCATAGCATGATGTTTGTACAGGTATTGTTTTAGTGGATATCTAATTAAATATTCGAAGGAGTGTTCTCTTACTTACCATTCACATATCAAAATGTTATGATATCAGTATTAATTTTGGCAAACATTCTTAAAACTGGAGACATTTCTGAGAATTTGCCAAATATATATATATTTGGTTGATGATATGTCTCGCGTACTACAAAACTAATAAGTTTACTAGTTCTGAAATAGTACATTATTCTTAAAATAAAATATTTAGAACAAATAGTATACAATTCTCAGTCGCGATTCAAATTACTAATGATTTAATTAAATTAAAACTCAAGGTTAGGACGGTTAATTCGTTTGATATAAGGAACATTTAGTAAATCTATACTAACATTATAAAGAACAAAGATTTGTATTTTGTGTGTATTGAAGTAATTCAAAAACTACTAGGCCGATTTCAAATAATCTGTCACCGTTAGAAAGGACATTTATCTGTGAGTAACAAAGGCTATGTTTTTTTTTATTATTTGTTAATTTCACGCTGACGAAGTCGCGAGCAACATCTAGTCTGTTATAAGCATTTGATTTTTATTAATCGCATAGTTTAATATTTTTTAGACGACTTTTTTTGACCGACTACCCACAAGAAGGAGTTACTCAATTCTGTATATTTTATGTCTGTTACGCCATATTCGACCCCATGGACCATTTTTTAAACTAACAAACTTTATTCAGCATGGTGAGAGCGAGTACAACGTGGTCGGTCGCATCGGCGGCGACGCGGCGTTGTCTGCGCGCGGTCAATTATACGCACGAGCGCTCGCCGACCACGTGAACGCGCTTGCAGGACGCGAGCCGCTCGCTGTATGGACTTCAGATCTACGACGCACAAAACAGACAGCCGCTGATATACGAGCTCCGAAATACCCGTTGCGAGCACTTAATGAACTTGACGCTGTAAGTATTTGGCCTCCACATAACTCTATCATACGTCATCATTTTCTTCTCGACCATGTCACCTTTCACGCAATACATCCATCTCTTTCGAGGTCAGCTCTGCCTTAATATGCCACTAAATGTAATAATTTTAAACATGTTTCATGCACTTTAGCAACAGACGAGTTTAGAAGAGAGACGAGAAAGGGATAACATCCCGAATAATATTTTAATCCGTGTCTATATTATTTTAAACGGTATCAAGTTTTTAAAATTGCTATTTCAATATTTAAGGCGCTGTAAAAAAATAATAACTTTATTGCATCCAATTTACTAATTTTTTTCGAAAATATTCTTATCAAACACGTGTATAGCAATGACATAAAATATATTGTAAGATTGCGTATCAAATTATGATATATTGATTAATTAAATGAGGGAAATTTTCATTGAAATATTTAACTGTGTCAGTATGTAAGGAAAATTATTATAACAGGTAAATATTCAAACACTGATAAACTATTTACCTACTTACCATCTGGGGCAAGGTGGTCACTTTTTAATTTATCAACATAACGTGAAAGATGTAATAAAAGTCGTAGAATTAGGTTGTCTCTTAATATTACATTTGTTAACCATGAGAATTTAAATAATGATTTAATACCTTTGTTTTTCCAAAACAAGTTGTAGTCAATATAAAATACATTATATTCTTAAAAATAACATTGACATCATCAGATTTCATTGATAAATCATATTTATCTGATTAATCCGCTTTTGTATGATTTTTCATACTAAAAAGATACTAAAACGAGATATAAACATATTTTTACGTTATTTGTAAACAAAACAAACGACCGATAGGGAATGATAAAATTATTGTCCGAGTAAACAGCTCTGAACACTTTTACAACGCGTGATATCTTTTAAAACACATGATTTATTTAAAAAATAGATAGATTTTTTTTTTATTGGACCTAAAATTTCGTACTAACTCGATAGGACTGTCTCCTGAACTAGCAATACTTGTGTTTCAGGAGATAGGGCCTTCTCCTAACTACTCTTGCGCTATTTGTAAATAAAAAGCATATTTTAATGTACTTTTGATATATCGTAAACACATTTAATCGAAATTCACTTATTTTAATCATTACTGCGTATTAATTTGTGATTCATGGTTATATTAGGTAAAACCAGAGATAATACTTGATATTTTTATCAATGCAAAGTAATATTGTACCAGGAAATCGTAGATTTGTTCTATCACAACTTTTTTATAAGACTTGACTGTGAAAATGACTTATTTCCTCCTTTTCAATAACAATGCTTACGGTTGTATGCCATAAAAATTATGTTTTAAACGTTATTACGCGTTTGGTGAAAGTTTAAATTTTGTATGGCACTCGGAAAGTATTTGTTTGCTATACAATTTGCAATGCACTCCCCCCTCATCCTGATATACGATATTTTATCATCAACTTGCCTTTGTCCCTACGGAGGGTCGGCACAGTATGTGCTGCTTCCATATCTATCAGCCTTGATATCTGAATCCACTCCCTTCTTAAGCATATGCTCACGTAAACCATCCATACTTTCTTCGGTTTTTCTCTACCTTTGTATCCACATTTAAGTTTAACACTTTTTTGTTAATGTCCCCCTTCTCTCTTCGCACAACATATCCATACCACGCTAACCGATAAGATATTTGAAAACTATTATACAAAGTTTTATTTTCCGATAAACATCTTGCATAATGTAACCTTACGTGAAACCGCAATCGATTTTAAATGTTTTCGCACTGTTACACAATGCGTGATTTTCTTTATTTGATAGTTGTATTGTGGTTTTTTGATTTCCTATTATTCTATGGCATATAGAATTTAATACAAGGATGAAAATAACAACAAAGAAAGCTAGAAGTCCATTTAAAGTACTTACGCTGTCTTGATTATTTTCAATTATTTTTATTTCAATAAATAAAAAATGTGCCATTTATTTTTGTCTTCTGGCTTTACTTTTCACGTATTGTATTCCTTGTTGTTGTTTATTAATCGTAATGTTTTCAATCTAACAACACAAGTATTAATTACAAACATCAACATGAATGGAAACTTTTCATATGTTACATTTCTTGGCAGCCATATTTAGCCCACATCTTTGACTAAACTGTCTGCGATTGTCAAATGTTTCGCGGCCAATTCAATTGTTTAGTTGCACAAAAATCGAGTAGTGTGCACCTCCATATAAGCTTATAGGAATTAATCAAGACTAAATAGTTGTGCGATAGTTTAGTTTCAGGTGTGAACTATAATGTTCATGCATTTCACAGTCGCGAAGGAAAATTACCGATCGCCAATTCTATTTTTATGAAAATACTCACAACTGAAAATATACAGTCGTAATCTATGTTACGTGGAAAAAACTTTCGAATTTTCGATTCTCATGCCAACAGATTAAACTTTCTTTGCGTCATGAATTTCCCGCCTTTTAAGACGAATTCATATCCGGTTATCCATATCAACTTTTTTCTAATATTATCGCCAATTTTCAATACCCATTTATCTCTACGATAAAATTACATAGAATTGTTTATTAGGGTAATACAATTCTAAATTAAATGTAGTTAACAGGAAAAGTTATTGAAGATTAACCAAAAACAGTAACCGAAAATTTTAATCATCACTTCCACGCCCCTAAGAGGTAGCCCTAAGGTTTCCATTACTAAGCGTCTTGGCACACTTCTCGTCTTTTCAGTCTTTTGAATACACCAATCGGGATCTTTGTATTTAATATCAACAAAATTCATTTATATATATTCATTAAATATATAATATTAGCTTTCGCCCGCGAATCCGTCCGTGTGGAATTAAAAAAAAACAAACGTGACTAGCCTTTGTCTTCTTCCAGACTATCCTCTACATCTATACGAAATTTAATCGAGATCCGTTCAGCCGTTTTGGCTACAAACTCTAACAAACATCTATCTATCTAAACTTTCGCATTTATAATATTAGTATAGGCACTGCACTGTTCACTTATAGCTGTTACTTTTTGCAGGGTATCTGCGAGGGTTTAACATACGAGGAGATGCAAGAACGGTTCCCTCAAGAGTTCGCGTGGCGTGATCAAGACAAGCTTCGATACCGGTACCCGTGGGGCGAGTCGTACATCGATATAATGACGCGACTGAGACCCGTACTCACCGCGTTAGAGGATGACCACAATGTTGTAGTTGTCGGCCATCAGGCAGTACTGCGTTGTATGCTCGGATACTTCCTTGATGCTAAACTTGGTAAGTAAAGTCATTTTATCTTCTACAATATCAATATTTATGTTACTTTTGTCATAGATTCAAAAATTATATAGAGGAGGTATATTTGACACTTGAATTGAAGCGTTTTTCACATAATTAATAATGACGCTATCTATTAATAGATCCTTAAAACAATATTAATTGCTATTAAGTAATATATAAACGTTTATATTTTATTTTGTAATACTGTTTCGTTTTTATAACAAAAGATGGAGCTTATTATATTATTTAGAAAAAAAGTTATTACTCGTCAATACTCAAGGTGACATTAAACTTGACAACTGATAGTGTACATTTCAGAGAAAGTACCGGTCAAAAATTTTGTTTACTATGCCACGTCTATATATTTTTTAAATGTCTGCCTGGTCATAACATTCCTAGATAAATTAGTGTTCTTTACCCTAAAGACTTTTAAAGTCAAATTCATTAAAATAAACTTCTTCTTAAAAGTAATTACGCGAAAAACTTTACAAAACGAACTATTTATTTATCCAAATAAGATTTACTTATATAACTTTTTTTTTATTCACAGACGAACTGCCGTACATGAATGTGCCTCTCCACACGATCGTGAAACTGACATCTTACGGCTACAAGTACAAAGTTGAGATGATAAAGTTGCCCATCGAGTGCGTGGACACACATCGCAAGCAGCCCAAGGTAACATCATCCATCTTAGATAATAATGCAAGTCATTTTAAACACTCTTAATCAATCATAATTATTTTTTAATTTGTAGTACATTCCGACCTTCCTTGATATTTATGTGTCACATTTCATTACATTTGATAATGGCAATTTAATCAATAATTAATTTAAAACACTTAGTATTTGATTGTTAATAATGAATAGGGTCCGAAACAAGTGTACCGACTAACAGATTATATTTGACATTAACGGGAAAGGCATAGATTAAAAAAGACTAACTGTTGCTTGCGATTTCCTGAAACGTGTAACTGCGTGAAATCTTACTTAATATTATAAATGCGAAAGTTTAGATGGATGGATGTTTGTTAGCGTTTGTAGCCTAAACGGCTGAACGGATCTCTATGAAATTTGGCACAGGTTTAGAGCATAGTCTGGAAGAACACATAGGCTACTTTTTAACCCCCGAATAGTTACGGTTCCCGTGGGATTCATTAATTTAGTTTTTTAATATTCACTCGATCATTCTGTAACGGTTCAACATATCGTATTGAAATTTGGCACAGATATAAAACAAAGTCCTGAGTACACATAGGATAAGCTTCATCCCCGAGAAATGTCCGGTTCCCGAGGGATACGTAACTTTTTGTAATTTATATAGTTTGTATGTTTTCTAATACTACGCTGACGAAGTCGCGAGCAACAGTCCATTAAACAATATAGCCTGTGTTACTCTGTGATAACGCAGATTTTTAATGATGCAAGAATTTTTTATATCGACCCAGTAGTTTTTGACTTATTTTAGTACATATCAAAAATAAAAATCTTTCGTCTTCATAATATTAATTATAGATATAAGAATTATATTCCATCCAGGCACAACTAAGCTACCAATAATAAAAATGATAATTTCCTTATATGTTGACATTATAATAAACACAACACAAACTAATTATTTTTTACAGAACTGCTCTATAAACCGAAGCACTGCCGAGGCATTGGTAACTGTGCCCTCCCACTACGACACGCTGCCTTCCAACTTATGGCAGAATCCTACTGAGGCGCAGCTTTAGGCGCCGGAGCCGCGCCTCAGAGCTCGAGGCGCCTGACTTCCACGCCTACACGACACGGGGAACGGAAACTCTCTAGTGTATACAGGCCTTGCTAAAAGGCCCTACATCGGCTTAAAAGGCCCTATTTAAGGTCTTAAAAGGCCATACATAGGCTCAAAAGGCCTTACTTGGGCCTTAAAGGCCCTATCTCCGCCACATTGGCCTTAGCAGGCCTTGGCTTCAGGTCGAAAGCCACGGATACGCAGAAAAGAATGCCATCTAGCGATCTATAGACTAAATAGACTGTTCACGCTCAAAGTGACAAGCGAGTTAGTTTTTAAATTTTTTTTTTAGTGAAACAATTTACGTACAAAACTCAAGGATGTGTTCGGATACGAGTGTTAACTTCCAATTAATGAGACTGAAATGGTTTTTAAACGTCGTTTCAATTTAACAGTTCGTTTATTATTAATCTTGATGTGTTCTTATTTTTTAATCTATAGTTATATTGTGCATTATCTTATGTCATTTTTAATGTCATCAAATGCTTTTATATTTTAATTTTTATAGTTTTTTCATTTATAATATTAAAGTTAAAGTTTACGTCTTATAGGTTATGAGTAAATTCAACGAAACGAGTTATTTTAACTAATTCTATATAATTAGTGAATAATTTTTTAACATAAGTTAATTACATTTTAAAGATTAAGAAAAACGATACTGGTTGGAAAAGTTGTGTTTTTTGCCGGGATATTTTGAGCAATGTCAAGTATAATTACTTAGGCTCTCATTTTTAATGTTTAAGACGGTGGGGTATACTTAGACTATGCTTAGGATGTAGTATATTCCTAATTGATTAAATAGTGGTTCAATAGAATCTATACTAGAGGTTATGTTAGAGATATGGTTTTAAACGACATACGTAGTTTCTTTCAACGAATCTTGTATGTGGAATTAATTTTTTTAATAAATGGAATACATGAGGAATAAAAGTGTTTTATTTATTAACCTGTTTTTTTTTTAAATAATTTAAATTTTGTGTATTTTTATTGACAGTTTTTTTTATAATATAAGGTGGCAAACGAGCAAGCGGCCACCTGAATCCACCGAAATGGAAAGCGTCCGAGTTTTAAGTAGAATTTATATGTTCTCAACCTTAGGGTCTGTTGAATATTACCATTGCCCTGGGCGTGATTTCTACAACGCCCTATAACTGAACTACAAACTAAGAGTAGCCAGTGGCTTCTTTATGTTGGACGCCCTGGGCTGTAGACTCAGTTCGCCCTTTTTTTTTATTACCCGAGGGGCATCTTACGCATACTCCACGTCCAGGAGGACGTGGTAGTTACGTGGGACTCTCCCCTCATAATGGGCGGCATACTCACTAAACCCCTCGGTTCCTCCAACGCCTTAAGCCGTGGCTGCGGGCACGCTTTCGCTTACTTCCGCGGCCCCGGCTTGAGACTCAGTTTGCCCTACCCTAACACTTGAATAAATCTTATCGTAATTATTGTGTAAAAATTATTATTCACCTAAATAAAAGTAGATGTGACCATTTACCTAGAAATTTATCAAGAAATCACCTAAAAAGATAACTTCGCCTAAATTTATCAACGTTTCTAGAACGTTTTATTTTACTAGAACAATGTTTACATGTTCACTTTGAAATGACTTGCTTTATGATGGATTTCATAGATTTTATGTGATGATAATATAAATCTAAATTTAGTCCTTTCCTCATATAAATAGCTGTGCTAATGTTTACGAACCTAAATAAACTGCATGTCAAATGTGTTTACTTTTCTAATCATACTAATATTATGAATGTGAACGTTTAGATGGATGGATGGATGTTTGTTAGAGTTTGTAGCCTAAGCGGCTGAAGGGATCTCGATGAAATTTGGCATATATGTAGAGGATAGTCTGGAAGAACACATAGGCTACTTTCTTTTTTTTTATTTCCACGCGGACGGAGTCGCGGGCGAAAGCTAGTAATACATAAATATAATTAACTAGCTTTCACCCGCGACTCCGCCCGCGCGGAATTAAAAAAAAACAAAAGTGAGTAGCCTATGCGTTCTTTCAGACTATCCTCTACATATATGCCAAATTTCATCGAGATCCCTTCAGCCGCTTAGGCTACAAACTCTAACAAACATCCATCCATCCATCTAAACTTTCGCATTTATAATATTAGTAAGATTTCACGTCCAACAAACCCCCATCTTGCAATGAATAAAAATTGTATAATGCAGTGCTTGTGGGTGCAAGAGCCCTAGACTTACAGACTTTATTTTTCTTTTATAAAATACCGAAATTGTGGTCGTCGTAGGGTCTTCGGCTATAAACTAATAATTCTATCGCACTATACTGAAAAGACGCCAATCTTTGGAAAATATTATTTTTAAATTTATTACTTTTTGTCACAACAAATGATGCCAATCTTGACTTCCTACAAAAAACAAGTTTAAGATATTATTTATAATTTAACTATATTTTTGTTATGTAAGACTAACAGCGGGTTTTTATGTTGAAACAACACACACACCAGTTTCCAAAGTAAATTTGAAAAATAACAGTGAATTTCGATTGCCGTTTTGTATTAACAAATGAAGACATCTCTTTCATTCTTTCCTACAAAATAGAGACCACAATATGTATTAAAACGGGTATCACTACAGTCGAAACCGATGATTAGATTTTTTTCGCCTTTTTACCTTGAAAACTAAACAGATTCATAAGTAATAAAAACTTAAAATTATCCACGCATTTTGTGATGGAACAATCAAGTTTTATTTTACCTGTAATATCCATATTAAAAATACTTCCCACGTAAAGTATTGTTAGCCACAATTTTGCGATTTACAATTTATTTTACGATTGTTAAATTATGTTGATAAAACTAATTTCTGTATAAATTTGAAAGCAAATATTAAAAGTAGTTAGGTTAGTAGATTCATTTTTAAGTTTTTAAGTAAAAGTAAGTAGTTAAAATATGTTAGCTGGTTAGCTAAGTTAAAATTTTAACGTGCAAATTTTGCGATTCAAACATATTATACTTTACATAGGAGGCATCGACAATTCCTTGGGTTACGTAACTAAAATGAATGACAGACATTTGTGATGAAATAAGGAAATAAATCTCAAGGGGTCCATGACACTACTGACTTTCCATGAAATAATTCTTAAAAAAAACAACTATGTTGTATACTTATTATTACTTATCAAGTTATATTCATGTTCCCTTTTTTACCAGTTTCACATTGTTTTTAAGCACTTTCGGTAGTATTTTTTTAGCTTGCAACAGACCCATAGACAAACTTTGTATTCCACAAACTTGTTGTATGGTGTTTTACAGGCTATAGACAAACTAGGTAATAGACAAGGTTAGGATCAATAAGACATGAGAATAAAATGTTTTCTTCATGACTTCTCTGAGGTCTAAATACCTTCATATTTAATTGGTCGACTCATTCTAGTCATGGTTTTCCTTTCATAGCTCTGTTTTGATATCGCAACTCTGCCATCAGATACGAATTATAGACTTTGAGAGATGAAAGATAACATTTATATAAACTTTCGTAACGTTTAGAATTTATGATTACATCTGCGCACGTGCAGTAAAGACATTGTAGATTAGATAACACATGCAATACAACCACATATCGGAATATATCGAACGATCGACAGGCAACAGGCCTAGGAAACGGTGAGAGGCTCGATGGCGGCCGTGGCTTACTTCATTGACGCCGCAGCGCCTGCGGCTGCGACCCGCCTGACCCCTAAAGTAAAATATAAACGCTTATTGTCATACAAATCGCTGTGAAGCGCACACGCTCGCAGTTTTCCCGCGCGCGCGTTATCCCGTTCTATTTTTAAATTTTCAGTGCCTTAAAACGAACAAAAAGTTCGAGGTTATGTGACATTATTAAAGGACACGTGTGGATCCTTATCTCTTAAAGTAAGTCAAATTTAAATAAAGTTTGAAAAGGAAAACGTTAACCTTTTCGATGCTACTGTTTGATAACCGTGTTAAACTAAGCCTTTTTGAATTTGGGAGTTAGAAAAATATTGTTGTATTGAAAATAAGCATGGTTTTAATCACAAAACAATTGGTTTTCAATAACTTTAACTGTCTATACTTATGTTGAAAATTTTCCTCGATCGTACAGAGTGCGGAGCGAAAGTAGGTAATTTATTGATTACAGTGCACGGGTAGTAATTTTTATATATGTAATTGTAGTGAAATAAATTATATTTCAATTTAATATGGCATTTATCGACACAAAAACATTAAAATAAATACCTGAATCAATGTTGATTCTGGTTAGGTATTTGCTAATACAATTATGCACACATTACGTAGTGGTATATGAAACATCTTACTAATGCTCGGTCAATAAAGCAAATATTTATTCAAACACGAAATATATCTTTATCATTTGTGATGATTATAAGAAAATGGTTAACATGGTATATTAATTAGCATCCTAAACGTAGAAATAGTAATAAAAGACTCAATTGAAAATCGAAAATAAGCTTTTTTTTATAGTATTAGGTGGCAAACGAGCAAGCGGTCACCTGAATCCACCGAAATGGAAAGCGACCGTTGCCCATAAACATTCGCAATTCGCAAAAACAACGCTCATAAAGAAGATATTTCTCCGTCCTGTGCGTTTCCTCCACCGTCAAAACCAATTTTCCTTTCCGTCCTCTTAAGAAAAGAATGGAAAGGGAAAGGTACTAAAATTAGGCCTCCGTTACCACATTCATCAGAGGAAACGCGGAACCGCTTCTACTTCACGCCTGTTTTCTGTGTGGTCGTGGTATTATACCGGGCGAGAAGGCCTATTCGTGCAAAGATGTTAAAGCGGGCTCTACCACTGTTGTCTATGTATGGTATGACAGTGGAAACCGACGGTTAACGCAACGTCATAACAAGAGACGCGTGGAATGCAAAGCATTCTCCCGTTTACCTTCCTCACTTGTTTTTATAAAAAGCTACAAGAGTATTTACGTCATATTAGAGTAATAGTCAAATGGTAAATTCAATTGACATTGGCGTTCTCAGACGTTTCTGAGTGAAGTTAATAATGCATCAGAAAACAATAGATAGTATAATGTGAGTAAATAAAAATTAATTGCTTATATAAGTTGTTACATAATACAAATTAGAGGAAATTATCTTCCACTATTCTGTATTAAAAAAAACCAATAGGTATGTCCCGGTGTGTTCATAAACTACTAAACACTAGACGTTTGTTGAAAACGTTTCGTTTGCACTATATTTTTTGATGAGTTAACTTTTGAACCTACTTTGACCTTGGCTCTACAACGTATGGCGGGTTCAAGCAATAACATTTAAACACACATGTGTATAAATCAGTCGATGTAAATATTTTTAAACGTCAATTACTCAGCCATAATTAAGTACCGAGTACTTATTATGTAACGCTTTGAACATCTGTATAAAAATGTAACTACATTCAAAACGAATATTAAACGAAATTGCCTTGAAGTAAACTCACTACTGATCCCACGCGAACTACAATGTATAAGCAATATTTAAATTTAACTAATATAAACACAATACGCTATTAAGATAATAAAATTTTTTATGCTTTCCCTGACATACATTACAAACCACACTCATTCATAAATGTACTAAAGCCCGCCAAAAACAGTTAGTTCTAATAAACGAACTGACAGTTAAAATCGTAAAGTATCGTAAAGTTAATAAAACAACTTACAATATTTTTTAATAGCTAAAATGTGATAGTTCACATTTTAAAATTATTTTACGAGCTGTTGCCCGCGACTTCGTACGCGTGGTATTAGAAAACATACAAACTATATAAATTACAAAAAGCTACGTATCCCTCGGGAACCGGACATTTCTCGGGGGTGAAGCTTATCCCATGTGTACTCCAGACTTTGTTTTATATCTGTGCCAAATTTCAAAAAGATATATTGAACCGTTGCAGAATGATCGAGTAAACATTAAAAATCTAAATTAATGAATTCCACGGGAACCGTAACTATTACAGGGATAAAAAGTAGCCTATGTGTTCTTCCAGACTCTGCTCTAAACCTGTGCCAAATTTCATGGAGACCCGTTCAGCCGTTTAGGCTACAAACGCTAACAAGCATCCATCCATCCATCCATCTAAACTTTCGCATTTATAATATTAGTAAGAAGTAAGATTTGAAAAAAAAAGTTTAACAAATGGTCACACTACACACGTGCTCTCAATTCGTGATTAAAAGTCAACGCTCGTGAGGTTTGCCTTGGGCTTGGAACAGGATCCCAATAATTTTTACTGTACCTTAACAACGCTACCCGTTATTATTTCTATTATGATTCTTAACACAAAGATTTACAGTCCATTTCAGCGTAACGGCTCCAAAGAAACATCAGGTAAAAAGTATCGTACTCACAAAAGTGATAGTCGAAATCGAAACTATAACTTGACATTGATGAAAATAGGTCATCTAGTTGCAGCTGAGATACAAGCTTTTTTAAAACAAATGTTGCTAAAGTCTAACCAGTACCAGTTTCAGTATGTTACAAAGTACTCTGTGAGTCTAACTTTAAATGACTACAGAGTTCGTGCATCTAGATTTAGCTTTAGAATTCTACTCTAAGGAACTGCTTAACTTATTATTGTATGGCTCTGACAGTGAGTGTGATACGAAGCCTGAATGTCGAGGATTCGATTTCTCGAGTAAATAGGGATGACAGTATTTGATTCACGGGCCTTTGAACTCTAATGACTTGAACAGCCTAAGTAACGTTATTTAGGCTACATATCTCATCAAAACAAATGATAATTATCTTCCGAAAATATATTGAGTTTTCAAATGCGTCATAAATAATGTGGTTTTTAATTTTTCATGTTCCAGAATGTTAAATGAACAAGATTTAGTAGTGGCGAGGGCCTTAGCGTCGGAATCGCGAGAAAATTCCCCAGGAGGATCTCCAGGACCACTTCGTAAAAATCCACTTAACAAAGTGGTAGACAAACTCAAAACATTTAGGTAAGGCGCCGTTTTTTGTAACAATTCTTAACTTGGAAGATGGACTTATGGAATCAAGTATGGAGTAAATCATCAAATCAAGTACTTTGACTTTACAGCGAAAAGTAGATGTTAGAATTAATGTAATTCAAAATGTAACTCTATCCAACCGTAGGAGCAGAACATTTATAAACGTCATAACGTCAGTCATGTAAAGACAACTGTCAAACCAACGTCAAAGTCAAACTAAGATAAACTGTGATGACAGTTAACCTATTCATCGTGAAATTAAATATTATCTTTTTTCTATTGAAACGTCTTATTAAGTGTTGTGATTTAGATGAATAAGTTAGATGTGCTATGCCCAAGGAATTGTTACATTTCATATATAAGTTAAAAAAACAATTAAGGGATTGAAGTATGGTTATGAAAATGGATTACAAAGTGAAGTTCAAAGAACCAGCGACAAGCAAAGAAATTGCTGAGGAGGAAGAAGAGAGGTATGTTATTAATTACTAATTATAATTCTACCAACAATATTCATATGCGCCAAAGTTAACAATTGTAAAAAAGAAAACAAAGGAACCTGTGTCGAGTGTTGCATATTGTGTTTTGTCACAGATTAAAAAATGTAGATTAAGAAAAAAACTCGAATGTCAAACAAATAAATTTTATCGCGTCATAGAATCGAATACAATAATTAATTTTAACAATCACAAGCTTATGTTGTGTGCTTACCTATCTTTTTTATCGTAGTTGAAATCAAAGAGGATATAAAATTGGTTGAAATGATTGAGAATTAGGTTTTTTTTTGTTATTCAATCAAAAAGTATAATGCTGTAATCAATGGCGTGGTGCTACTGACGCATCTTGGTAAAATACTGCTTGTGAATAGTGATTACAAAGTGCTATGTAAACGTAATACTATATTTTCTAAAACATAAGTATGAGTATAAACCGTTTCCGATAAAGTCGATGTGGGGGCAGCACTGAAATAACAGAAATGTAAGAATCGTAATCGATTTTAATATTAATTACAAACTATGCTTAATCCACTATAATCTATGACTGTTTCTGAATTTGAAACGAAAACAAATAATTTTTATTTACGATATAGTCGGTTCGAATTGTTAGAAAATTACGTTTAATTGTAAAACCTGTACCTTTGATGTTAATAGTAAGAAATGTGATTTGCATCATTGTTATTGTTACATTATATTCTGTCATCTTTCCGGAAATTTACTAAAAAAAATATTTTGCAAACACAAGATATTCATCCGGTTCGTGTCCGACTAGACAATTTGTACTTCGTGGACAGATACGGAGCAATCCATTATTTTCATAATGGATTTAATTGCAGAATTGATGCAAGAAATTACTCTTAACAACTTCGATGTTGGCTCTTCGACATGGGTTGATGTTACTTACGTCAATAATCCACACAGTTTCTACGTTCGTCCAACCTCTTACAGAAGTTTTATAACATCAATGCAAGTACATGGTCAGAATCTTACACAACAAGATCTGCAGTTAAGTATGAATGTGGTTTACTATTCAAAAAGGCTGAAGCACTTTTGTAGAGGTTTAATTTATCATATAGATACATCGAAAAAGAATTGTACTTGTGACGTATTTGCCATTGATTTTGGTTGTATAGAGAAATCTATTTCTTTAAAAAATATGTATTTTGCTCTTGTTGAACAAGAGTTGCCACCTCTAGCAACTCATTGCCAATTAGCAAATTGTGAACCTAAGAATGGCTTGTGGACTGATAAAGTTGTAGATGCTATGAAATGTTATATTGGAAAAGAAAAGGCAAAATTAATAGTGAAAGGGAAAACAAGTGTTAAAGTTGTGGTGGAGTTGTACAACTCTTGCCCTGATGATATAGCAACAATGCTTGCATTAACAGGTTATTCCACATTAGGCTATAATGAAAATGTTATAAGTCGCATTCCTAATTTTAAACAAGAGAAACATTATTATACATACCCAAAAATAGAACAGGGTAATATTCTACATGTCCGAACACAATCGGGAAAAGATTTTGATAATTTCTGTGTTGCAAAAGTTGATGATTATTATGATTATGTTAATAATGTAAATAATTTTCAAGCATATTCTAAGCAAGCACAGAGTTTAAGGCCGGAAGATATGAGAGAAAACAAACCTGTTAGTGTTTATGTCACACATCTTGTAAAATATGAGCGTGGGATAATACAAAAAATTACAGTTCCCGAGGAAAAAGCATTGGTACAATTAGTTGACTGGGGTTCTCTAATTGAAGTAGATGTGTCAGGAATGAAGCTTATGTCAGAATATTATTTTTTAAAACCAGTGATAGCTATTTATTGTGCAACAGAAAAAAGTCAACAATTTGACAACAGTTTACAGAAATTTTTAATTCCAGGTTGTGAGTTTCTTATTAAAATTAAAAAGGTCGGGAATGGATCTCGTAAACCCAATATTGTAACTATATCTCCATTGTCTACAGCAAAATAAATACTGTAATAATACTTCAATATTTATGATATTTTACTATATCGATTGTTAATCAAAATTTATTCTATCAAATAGTTTTTAGTTAGAAATATAATTAGAAAACAGCCAAGTCAATTTTTTTTAAGTATTTTATAGTTCATTTATATTAATCCAAGTTTGAAGCAATTAAATGAAATATCACAAGATCAGTATTAGATGTATAATTTATGCTAATTTAAAAGATTTTCATGAATTAACACAATGTGCAATGCATACCAAATGAAGGGATAAGCAATATTATGTTTTTTTTTTATTACTTAAAATCACACAATTTTTAAAGGAAGGTATTTTGTATAGTATAGGTATAGTTTTATAAGAATCAATAGGAATTTTGCTGTAGTAGACAGATAGTCTTAAGAGTGAGTAAGTTAGAATTTATTACAAACCATTTTGTATGAAGTTAAAGGTAAAAGTTAATAGATATATAAAATTAGGTAAATTAGTAGTGATTAGAATTATACTTTCTTGCTATAAACTTTAAATTGTCTATGATATTGTTTATGTAGTATAAGGGATATTTGTTCTATTTGTCTTTATAAGCTTGATGTCTTGATGCAAATGTGGAGGTATACAGGCAGAAGCACATTGCTTGTTTGGCCAATTCTAAAAGCTGTTTGCTGTGTCACATTAAATTTAAAAAAAAAAGCATACCAATTGAGTACCTTTCTTTTGGGAAGTCGGTCAAAAATAAAGGTATTGTATCAAGCCGGTATGTTTAATAGAAAAAGTATTTACAATAAAAGTATTTAAATAAATTATTAATTTCATTATTGTGCACTTATTTTATGTTTTAATGAGTTGTAAAATCCCCCTGACGCTTTGTTATAGCAATAATATCTGACAATGATTATTGTTTTACGCAAAACAAGGCGTCAAGTTACTTATACTAACGCTTTGGATAGCTTCATGTCAATTATAAATAAATACTAAGAAATTAAAATAAATAGATAAATGATCAATAGTAACAGTTAACTGAAGTGCGATAAACGTATATTCTTGAAGTGATTTGAATACAGTAAAAGACTACAGTAAGAAAAATAATGCTGGACATATAAACTTGAAAGACTGTGTCAATACGCAAGTATTCGATGGTTGCCTATATTTATACAATGAAGTGGACGACATAACAATTATGAGGCCCCAGGCACAGTTGCTTTTCAGAACTACCGTATTAAGTACGTGTGCCGTTAAGCCCACGCATTGTTTTTAAGAAAGAGGTTACAAGCAAACGTTTATAAAGGTCGTTTGTTTTGAATTCGCGTTAAATTGTTTTTTATTTCATTGACGGAAATAGGACATGTTTTAAAGTACATTTTTTTGTTTCAATATTTAAAAAACAAAACAAACTTACACTTACTAATATAGAAGAACCTCGATATCTAAAACCTCGGTAACTTAAAAACCTCTATAACTTCATAAAATAATATGTTCCCTTCCCATCGGAGCCCAAAACCTCTACATCATAGACCCTTGATTACTTAAAACCTCTATAACTTAAAATATTTTGTGTTTCCCTTGAACTTTACCTTATCGAGCTTCTACTGTATTATAAATATGAAAGTTTAGATGGATGGATGTTTGTTAGAGTTTGTAGCCTAAACTGCTGAATCGTCTTGGACGAAACATAGGTAGGCGATAGTCTGGAAGAATACATAGGCTTTTTATTTTTGTTAAAATTGAACCAGACGGGGTCGCGGACAAAACCGAGTATAGATAATTCATACAGTTTTAACTGTGTGTAGTAGCCTTTACCAGTTTTAAGAACATGTCTAAGTCAGACACCCCGGTACGTAACAGTTCTAGGACAATGACTCTTGACCCAACGTCTGTGATTCAATTATATTACCCGCACATTTTGGATTACGAGGTTATTGTACACGGCATACTTCTGAAGTGTTATCGTTACAGATTTCTGTTAAACGTTGTATCCATCCATTTCTTGTATGTTGAATCTAATCTCATATCTTAACGATTAAAGGATCTTGCTTAATTACGGCATTGTTTGTTAGTCTAAATCCTGAATTATCTAATGAAAACGAAAGTTTCCTGAGTAAACTCATTTATTTATATTTGTTAATGTGAAGATCTATGTTCACAGTTATTCGGCAAGCAAGATGCTACTTTCACTAAACTGGATTCAGTGTAAGCTGAATTAGATTTAGTTTTCAGCGAGATATCGCGTGACTTGTGATCATAAGGCGGCACTACTTTCATTAGCCTTATTATGTCCATTCACTTCAGACTGTTTTTGTTACTTTATGGCATAGATTCAAAAGCTTTCTTTAAATAATAGTTATAATTATCATTAATTGTTGGATTCATGATTATAATAGACTAGCTGTTGCTTACGACTTCGTTCACGCAGTCATACTAATATTATAAATGCGTAAGTTTAAAAGGATGGGTGGATGGATGTTTGTTAGAGTTTGTAGCCTAAACGGCTGAACGGATTTCGATAAAATTTGACATAGATGTAGAGGATATTCTGGAAGACCACATAGGCTACTCACTTTTGTTTTTTTTTTAAATCGGAGTCGCGAGCGAAATCTAGTATTAATTTAAATAAAAGTCCATAATGTATCCGTGTATATCAGCTACCCTTCAGTTAATGTCCGGTCGAAATCGGCCCAGCCGTTTCGGAGATTACCCGGGACAAACGCGGCTTGCGGACAGACAGACAATTTTTTTTAATGCGATTTTCGTTATCGGCAACGCAAATTCATCTTCCCGAAATCTGGAATTTCTCTTTAGATATTACAGACACTCCAATTTTATTATATGTATAGATTATATTAATTTAGAAAGCATTTTCAAATGCAAAACACTTAATAAAGTTATTTGTGGTACTCGTTCCGTTGTTAACTGGACCTGTGATTCATACCAGATTGTCGACTGTTGGAAATGGTAATATCCTGGATTGGCTTAATTGACGGAAGCGCTGTACTCTATGTCGTTTCTCAGTACAAGTCGATAATCAACTTGTGAGAAATATGAAATTACAATGTTTGTTCAGTCATCTGGAATAAGGAAGTTACATCAAAATTAAGTCTTTAAAAAAAATGAAAAACTAAATGGTTTTATCGTAAAATGTATTTTATTAAACGTCTTTTCTTTTTTAAACGGATAAAGTATTCGATCGACAATAAACTGCTTAAACTGAAAAAAATCGCTACCGCCAAATTTACACGCTAACATAAGTGTTATTTATTGGTTATAAAATCGACGTAGTTTTAAATATACTCGTAGAACCACAAATCCACTCAGATTTAAAAAATACTAAACTAATCTAGGTTACATTAGTTAGTTGGACACTATTAAGTTTATATCATGACACAGTTTGTAATAGGATTTTATGTAGACAAGTTGTGTTTAACAGCATAACACGGTTACTCTAACTAGACGAAAAATGTAAATCACCTTTTAATAACTATAATTTGTTAACATAACCAGTAATGGAATTTAATAACTTAGGCAATTTAATATTAACTGTTATAATGACTGCATATAACCGCGGGTTTCCATTGCCTAAACATTTGGACAGAAATATATTGTCATCCTTCTCAAAAAATGGAAATATCAATGGAAAACCACCTTAACCAAAACTATAAAGTAACTTTTCCAAGGACGATGATGACTATCCATCCATTAAGTAGACGTAAAAACAAATATCTGTAATTAAAATAATAACAAAGTAATGTAAATATCATTGTTCATACTGTGGACACGTGCTGATAATGTGCCGTACAAAGTTTATAAATTCTATAAGTTAGATAACCTGTATATAGTCAAATTAAAAAGAACGTTATCGCTTGCCAGTCAATATGTGGTAGTGTATAAGATATAGCTCAATTTGTTTGATAAAGTCGCGCCAGTTTTTTTGTTTGCAATTTCATGGTATCGTTGAACAGCGTGTGTTCAAGCGAACGATTTTCCTATCAGTTGCACAGTCGCTCTGGTCGTGGTCGGACGTATACCAGGCGGCGAACTCGTAAATATTTATTTTTTTCCATACATCAATTCACCAACTCCTTAGCCTCCAAATTATTTTAACAATTTCGTACGACACAACCGCGTTTATTTTGCAATAACGTTTCGCGTGCTTCAGAAGGCTACCGGACCGACAGTGTTGTGAAATTAAATTCGCTTTCGGACATGCGAGTTGTATAATTCGTACTTCGTCGAGGATATACAAGTGTCGATTATCCAGTCAAGTGATGTGGTAACAGACCTCACAATGTTGTCTATGGAGTCATTATGGTGTTCTTCAGAGAGCGAACTCTCCAGTCTAAAGATAGCGAAGACCGCTGAAAGACCGGAGTACAGATTCTCAAGAAGACGATCCTCCAAAAGTTTGATACCCCAGGCTCTGTTGCACTGTCCGGAGCCACAACCGAAGGCTCACCGTCGTCGAAGATCTGGCACTTGGCCGTAAGTTATATTTGGTCATTTATGTAAACTTTTTACTTATGTAAAAAGCAATTACTCCCTTGACTCCTTGACCAGAGTGTACTTTGATTATTATTTACATTGAATTTAAATTACTATTGTTGTAAATAATGAATAATTAATGGGCACTTCGTTGTAAGACAATAGTTATGTTTTATAATGCAAAAGTAGTACATTGTAGTCTCATGAGTGTTACCCTAAATGGGTATCTCAGGTAGAAACTACAGGTTGGTCTGCGTGAGCCAAATAGCCTGTGGTGAAAAGTGGGTTAAGACGACTTAATTTTTCTGCCTCTTACCACCTTATAAAGCTAATAAAGTCAAAGCAAACGGTTGTTTTTATATTAAAATGAACGAACACCCGTTCTCATCTACTTTAAGTTACTTAGTTACTAACATATACTATGCTTAGTCTTCTTAAAATTACTTAAATTTCTTTTGAATGTGAATTAATTCTTGTGGAAGATGATATATTAATGTTAATGAAGTTTTCTTATTATTTCTGTTCCCATATTAAAAGAATAATATAATTTTGTCACTTGTCTTTTGTTATTCGACGTTGCTTGTTACTATAGTCAAGTATTTACGTATATTTAATACTTCATGAGACATTTTCGTTACGAAGATTAATTATTTCGTGATAGAATATGGTAACGTTCTGCATTTGTTCCTTTTTAAATATTGGTGGGATCCTTTCGCACCTTTCTATGTATGATCTTGTAAGTAAATTGCATGTTATTTGAAATTTTTAATACAATTCTGTCGTCTAATGCAACATAATGTATTCGGAATCGCAATTTCTTGCAAATGGCTAAGCGTTGGATAGTGCACATTATCTCCTTTCTCTTTTATAGCTCTATGAGCAAATATTTGGCTTGCTTTAACGTAATGTCCATCGGAAGTATATCTCGTTTCGACCCAATGCCGTAATTAAATAAAGAGAAACGTTAAATTTCATACATAGCGTCCATTATGATATCTTTTTGTTGGTTAATTTGTGAAAATTATAAGGTGATTTTGAAAAGGTTACTTTTATATGGTTTGTACCAGAAATATTTTTGAATTCACGGATTTTAACGTATTGTGCAGTTTGTCTATGGTTGCTTTGGATTGGAACAAGTTGTAATGACCTGTGAAGCCAGTACTTCTATGGCTGCATTCGCTTCGCCCTGTTTTGTTTAAATTTGACCCAGATAACTACTGATGTGTTAAATTTTAGAACCTTCACATCGATTTAGTTTGTTTACACTTGCGGAATTTTTGTATTCTATATGGTTATTGAATAAGAAGATTCTAGATAATGTTTGTATATTCATAATATGCTCGGTATTGCATTTTATTAATTTTCTGATATAACGGAAAATATAATGATGTGTACAAATAAGGTCATATTTCGTCTTAATTATTATGTCACGAGAGATATGACACTACCTTTCCTAGGGTATAAGCAGTGAAAACCAACGGTTATTTATCATAAAACTCTGTTGCCTGTTTCATATTTTTCTAATCATATATTGAAAGAAATATGAAATAACTATTTATCTTAATGTTTGTTATTATCTAGGCCTAGAAACAAAAACATGCGTCAGTCGACGAAATGCCCTAGTTTCCTACATCTACAGTCGAAAAGACCTCATTTCCATATGTTAAAACAGGCGCCATATTTATACTAATTCTTGACTTGAATAAACTACTCATGTAGACTCATTTACTATGTAAACGCTTGAACAAATCATGCTGTCTCTATCTTTAGAAACAAAAAAAGTCTTAGGGCCTGTCCCACCACTGGCTGATAGAGGCTCAGATAGTTTAAAAATGAAGTCACTGTCAGATAAGGTAACCGATATTTCTATCACATATTTTACACGTTGAATTATCAGACAATTTACAATATGGTGGGACAGGTCCTTCATCATCACCAGCTCAATATATGTCCCCTCCGAGGGGCTCGGAACCTACCCTAATCAGGGGTGACTAGGCCATAGTCAACCACGCTGGCCCACTACGGGTTGGTTGACTTCATACATATCTTTGAATTTCTTCGCCGATATGTGCAGGTTGCATCACGATGTTTTCCTTTACCGTAAGAACGTCGGGTAAATCATGTACGTATGAAAATTCGATAAATCGAAAATCAAATTGGTACATGGCGGGATTCGAACCCAAGACCTGTAGATTATAAGTCAAGTGCTTAAACCACTGAACCACCGACGTTTGAACAGGTCCTTAAACTAATACTATTTAGTGGCAATCCCAGCTATAGTATCGTCTGGTTTGTAACAAGCTCAAAAGGATTATTGGAAATTCTATACCTAATTACTGCTACTTATTGGCTTGCAATAGCAGGCAGCACATGCGCTAAGCTTTCTAATACATAGTTCTAAAACTAGTTTACGTTAATTACTAATCATCATTTACATGCTCTTATCCCTTACGGAGGGTCGGCACAGTATGTGCTGCTCTTCCATACATCTCTATCAGCCGTTATATCTGAATCCACTCCTTTCTTAAGCATATCCTCTTTCACACAATCTATCTTCGGTCTTCCTCTACCTTTGTAGCCATCCACAATCAATCTTATCACTTTCTGGTTTATGTCCCCGTCATTTCGTCGCATCACATTTACGTTACGTTTAGTTTACGTTAATTACTAATAAATTAGTATATTATTTATATGACTTTAAAGATATCTCTATGTCTGCGGTTGGGACTGAATTTTGTTTTTATATTTCTTATCGCAATCAAAACTAATAGCAATTTACATTATTGATAACAAAGTAAAAGTATATTATCGTATAAATGTACAAACGTGACCCAAATACAAAGCAACTTTATTTTTTTATTTAATTAATACAAGATTATTGTATTTCGACGATGTGAAATAACAAAATAAACGTTTCTGTGCTACTACTGCTATCATTTTTAACAGACTTCGAAAATATGGAGGTTCTTAATTTGATTGTTTTTTTTTTACGTATTTACACCGATTACGCTTATATTTGTAATGCTATCTACTTGATAATTGTTTACTTTTTCAAAATTAAAAACTTTTAATTTTCCAGTTCTTCTTAGTATTCAACTTTTCAAGCTATGTCAGTTCTAATATTCTGTTTGCGAACTGCAATTCTTCAGATTTTACGTATATTTAAGGTTCGAGAATGTTTCTTAAATTGAGATATCATTACAAATTCATTTGTAAAAAATTTTTTTATTACTCATTACGTAAGATATTTCATAATTCAACGTACATATAAATAAGGAAGCGGAAAAAGTGAAGGCTGATGGACTAATGTATATTTCAACATTAAATACATTATGTACCTAATGATGTTTTATGTACAAAAAGATCTGCCTATTCGAGTAAGAGTATATTTTTTAAATTTGTACTCGTATGTTTAAATAGATATGTTTTGTCGTCCCATAAAGAGTTCTACAAGTGGACGAGATTTTTCTACTAGTGTTCAAATCTTTCTTAAATTTGTTTTTTTTTTATAATATAAGGTGGCAAACTAGCAAGCGGCCTGAATCCACCGAAATCGAGAGCGACCGCTGTCCATAAACATCCGCAATTACAGATGAGTTGCCTTCCATTAATAATGGTTGTCCTAATTGTGAGCCGACTCACTGCATTTCGTTGAGCATTGTACTGATTCAAATTTAAACTGATCTATTGTTGAGTCTCAACCCGATATCTAAATATAACCTCTTGTATTTCGTTAACTGAACTCTGTACCCTTTGTATCGTTTTTATTTAGTTTTGAGATATGAATTATGTGTATTATTCTGGTTTATCTCTTCTCTATTAGTACATTTGTATGTACACGTAAATAGTCAATACTCTACCTAATCTTAAATACATATAGTATTATAGCCTTTGCTCACGAGTCCGTCCTCGTGATATTAAAAAAAATAAGTAGCCAGTGTTCTTTCAGACTATACTCTATATTTATGACAAATTTCATTGATACCATTTAGGCTATAAACTATAACATCCATCCAAATAAACTTTCGCATTTATAATATTAGTAAGATTGACGTAATCTATCTTAAAATGTTTGCGTTTAATATATTATATTTTTTTATATTCATAGTGTTTTGTCTATGGCATCAATGTCAATAAGAATCTAATTAATAATTAAAATTAAAAAATATATGATTCCAACCGACAATGTTTATAGCAACACTAACGTTTTGTTTATAAAGTACTAAGTTTGCAATGGTAGCCATTCTGCACGTTAGAGTCTCACGTTGTTAAGTTGAGATAAATGCAGTAATGAAATAGTATACCAAAGTAATAAGAACGGTAAAATATATCTATGAAAATTCATAAGAAGCCATCGTATATTGAGCTAAATACGCTTTAGAACAGTTGAACTGTGAGCACAACTTTGACTGTACAGTTCAACTGACAACTTTTACCTTTGAACTTTTCACGTATTTCAACTGAACAGTTTGACAGAAAAAATTGAACATCTAATTATGTAGATACTTTTAGAACCTGTCCCACCACTGGCTGATAGAGGCTCGATAGCTTAAAATTGACGTCACTGTCAGATGAGGGAACAAAATCCGATATTATTATATCTTTTACACGTTGGATGGTTATCAGACAATTTACAATTTGGTGGGACAAGCCCTTAATCTCTTATTTAGTAACAATGTAAACATGAATAGCGTTTGTTTCTTTACTAATATTGTGTACAATAAACCAATAGTAACTTCCAGGTAAGTACTTGGAAAAACGATTATTTTAAACAACACGTGTTGTTTCTGTTCACGTGCAAAACATGTAATCTAAACCACAAGGAAAACCGATGTTGATATTAGTATAATAGTAAAAATGACGTCACACAAAATAAGGTTATTTAATTGTTGCAAATTACTTTGAAATACAATGTATAATATTAAAAAAATAATTAATAGTTATGTTTTTTGAATAATATATATTATTTGTATACACTATGTTTGTCATTTCCCATTGAA